TTTCTTATCAAATGTTCTATAGTTAGAAATAAAATTTCATTCGAAATATTAATAAATAATTAATAAAAAAAACTTTAATAATACTTTTTCCTTTGATATTATTTATTTTTTGAAAAAAGAAAAAAATGAAAAAATTATTAAATTAATAATTAAATTATTAATTATTATTATAAATTTATTTTATTATCAATTAATAAAATAATACTGGCTTTAAAAAATTGACACAATTATAAAAAATAAATTTTGGTGTTTGATTCATTTTTCCATTTTGTTTTTTCTTTTTTGTCACGTAAAAAATCTCTTGGGTTTTATCTTTTGTGTAAAATGTGAATTTTAATAAAAAGTAAGTATATGGGTCTTATTATTTATACTAGTTATATAGACTTGTCCTAAATTTCACAAAAAAAATGTTACACTTGATCTAGTAAACTTGTACTACTTTTATTTTATTAGTTCAACGATGTTATTTTTTTTTAACCAATGATATTTATCCACAAGAAAATTGACAACCAATCAAATAATCAGATCTATTAAATGATTTCTATATAAATACTAACAAATTTTTTATTTTTCATTCTTGTGTTTATAGTCATATTATATTTTCGTGCAATTTCTTGAAAAAAATTAACAACAACAAAAATGAAATTTTTAAATATCTTTTTTATTATTTTTGTACTTTTTGGTGTATACTTTTTGCAATGTTATTCTTTTAGACTTAATGTTATTCACAGATGTAAGTATTTTTATTCTTTTTTTTTTATATTTGTATATACTTTATGGCAAATTTAAATAATATATTAAAAATTTAATTTCAAAAAAAGTTAAAAAAAATATATTTAAAAAATAGTTAAATTTTAAAACTTTTTAAATTTATTCATTTTTTATTTATTCAGTTAATTATTTTTTATTCATTTATTATTAAAATTTTGTTTAGAATTCAAATATTTCAAATTGTTAAAAATTCAATATATTTTTTCCTTTTTTTCTTTTTTAATAATAATAATAATAATAATAATTTTGTTTAGAATTCGAATAATTTATAAAAATAAGAAATAATAAATTATTCAATTATTGTTTTTTTTTTGTAGCATGTTATGATGTCAAGCCTCCTCATGGAAGTAAAAGAGAAATTTGTGGTAAGAATAGTATATTATGTGGCAAGCACGTAAAGTAGTACTTTTTAGGTGAGGATGTAATTTTCAGTACGAGCTGTCGTTAGTGCGACGTAGGTGAGACGAAGGCGAGCTGTAGGTGAGATGAAGACGAGCCGAAGGCGAGTCGAGTCGAGCCGAAAGCGAGCCGAGTCGAACCGAAGTCGCACAGACAGCGAGTATTGAAATCATCCGAACCTAAAAATTACTACGTGCGAGCCACATACGCTATTTTTTTCGCCATTGTTATGAAAAAGTGAAACAATTTTAAAGAAAAAAAATAATAAAAATTGATAAATAAAATAAAAGCAAAAAAAAAAAATTATGCAAAAATTAACAACTGCCTAAAAAAGACTTTATAGGGCAGTTTACTGCCTAAAAAAGACTTTATACGGCAGTTTGCTGCCTAAAAAAGTCTTTTTTAGGCAGTTGGCCCAAACTGCCTTAAAAAGTGCTACTTTATCTGCCCAAAACAGGCACAAAAAAGACACTTTTTCATGTCAATGGCGAAAAAATAAATATTTTGTTTATTTTGAAAAATACGATTTTTATACTTTTCCTATTTTATTTATTTATTTATAAAAATAAATAAAAAAAATATAAAAATAAATTTTTTGCAAATCGACTCTTTTTTATTTACAAAATATTGTAAGTTTAATATTAATTTTAATGTACTTCAAAAGTTAATGATATTTTCTTTTTTTTTTTGCAGAAATTTGTGTAGATGCGAAAAATTTAGCAGATTGGTTTGGATCACTTTGTGGTATGAGAACAGTTATTTTATATAATAAAATAAATAAAAAAAAAACATAAAATAAAAGAAAAGTAAAAGAAAAGAAATAAAACAATCATCATAATAAAGGAAATAAAATATTAAAAAAAAAAAAAAAAATTAATAGTAAACAAATTTTTTAAATCACTTAATTATTTTAAAAACTTTAAAACATTTTACAGAAAAGAAATTGAATAGTGTGCCACTGCAGTTTGGAATTTTCTTTGGATTATTTCAAAATAAAGTTTCACTATTTCAACAAAAAAAATGTACACAGGTGAAAAATCTACTAACATTACCAGGATCACAAAATTTAATTTCTCTGATTAATTCATTGACTGAAGACAATAGCACTAAGAAAGATAATCAAATATGTGGTAAGTTAATTAAATAAAAAAAGTAAATACAATTTTTGAAATTTCTTTCTATGACATATTTTAAAAATAAAATTGTTCCTTTTCAGTATCAGTTAAAACGACTTTGACACTTCCGGGTAAGATGTTTTAAAATAACAATTAAACATTATTCATAACGTAAAATAGATTTTTCATAAATATTTTAAACTTGTCCTAAATTTTTTTTTTTCCTATTCGTAAATATCTCTAAAAAAAATTTTTTCTTTTTTAGAAAATGGAGAGGAATATCAGAGAGGAGAGGGTTATCCGATCATACAATAGTTTTAAGGTTTTTTGTATTAGTTTTAAGTTTATTGTAATTAGATATAAGAACAATTGTAATTGGATCCTCGAATCCTGCTATGCAGGGAGAGTAAATAAAATAAAAATACAAAAAAATGGAATGGAATGAAAAATTTATACATAATATAAATTATTATTATTATTTATTTTTATTATTATTATTATTATTATTATTATTATTATTATTTTATAATTGAATAAAATGAAAAAAAAATTATAAAATTTTTACCATATATTACTGTAAATAAATAAAAAAAATTAAAACAAAATTTTCTAGTTAAAAAAAAAAAATTTAATTTTTATCGAAATTTGAAGATTGTTTTATTTTCCCTCTTGATAGTGATGTCAAGTTATTATACTTTAGTTGAAAGAGACAATAAAATAATGGAAGGCGCAAGTTTTGCGATCATATACGGTATGAGATTATAAAGTTATTCGAGCCACCTACTGTGTGTTATAAGTACGTCAATTAAAATTGTAATTACACTGTTTTAACTAGGTTACAGTAGAATGAAATTGCCGCGCTTACACACACATACACGCAACATGTATATATATTTCTCAAAATAGTTTAACTAAACAAACATTAGATTTGCTTCACCACATGTTTCTTCTCTATAGTGAGAGTGAGACTTCATTTTGCCAATATTGGTCTAACATTTATTGCTTGTTTGTATGATAAAATTTACAACTTTCTCCCAAATGAAATCGAAATTGTGACAATTTGTTATTAAATAAATATAAAATAAAATTTTTTTTTTTACAAGCTATTGTAAAAATTTAATTTACAATAAAAAAATTATTTAAAAAAAATGTACGCAATGTTCTATATAGTTAGAAATAAAATGTTGTTAGAAATTTTAATTAATAAAACTCTAAAAATAAATCTTCCTTTGATATAATTTATTTTTGAAAAATGAAAAAGATGAAAAAAATAATAAATTCAAATATTAATTAAATTATTAATTATTATTAATTTTTTATTGTTATTAATTATTAATTATTTTTATTAACTAATAATAATAATAACAACAAAAAAGAAAATCCTAACTCATAGTGATCGTTATCTTCTTTGTTATTATTTAAAATACGACCTAGTGATAAATTCATAATTTATTATTAATTATTAAAATTTTATTGGCTTTAAAAAATTTACTTCGTTATAAAAAAATAAATTAGGTGCATGATTAATTTTTTATTTTGTACTAAATTGAATTTGAAAAATAATTTTTTTTTTCATATTAAATGTTTATAATTTGTCCTAGTTTTGCCCCACACTTGGGCCTTATTATTTCTACTACTTATTTAGATTTGTTCTAAATTTTTCAACAATATGAACCAGTAAACTTGTACTACTTCTATTTTATTAGCTTACAGGTGTTGTTTTTCTTTTTTTTTATCTAGAACCAATGATATTTATCCACAAGAAAATTGACGACCAATCAAATAATCAGATCTATTAAATGATTTCTATATAAATACTAACGAATTTTTTATTTTTCATTCATGTGTTTATAGTCATATTATATTTTCTTACTATTTGTAGAAAAAAAGATTAACAACAACAAAAATGAAATTTTTAAACATCTTTTTTATTATTTTAGTAGTTTTTGGTGTTTACTTTATGCAATGTAATTCTTTTAGGCTTAATATTGAATACAGATGTAAGTATTTTTATTTTATTTTTATATTTATATAGTACCTTATGATAAATGTAAATAATAAATTAAAAAATTAAATGTCAAATAGAATTTTTAAAAAATAGTTAAATTTTAAAACTTTCCAAAATTTATAAATATTTAGTTAATTATTTTTTATTCGTTTATTATTATTTTTTGTTTAGAATTCGAATAATTTATAAAAATAATACAATAATACATTCAATTATTGTTTTTTTTTTGTAGCATGTTTTGATGTCAATCCTCCTGATGGAAGTAAAACAGAAATTTGTGGTTAGAAATAATTATTATTTTTACATAAAAAAATTTACAATTTTTATACTTTTCCCATTTTATTTAATTATTTATATAAAATATGTTTTTTTGTTCAAAAAAAAAAAAAAAAAAAAATGTACAATCGTTTTGAAAATCGATTATTTATTTTTTCAAATTTTCCCAGAATTATTTGCAAAATAATGTAACTTTATTATCACTTTTTAAAATACTCCAAATAAATAAATTTTTTATTTTTCAGAACTTTGTATTAATTCAACAAATTTAGAAGAATGGTTTGGATTTCTTTGTGGTAAGAGAACAGTTATTCTATATAATAAAAGAAGAAAATATAAAATAAAAAAATTTTAAAAAATTAATAGTGAAAAAAAGTGCATATTAACTTAAATATTTTAAAAACTTTAAATTATTTTATAGAAAAAAAATTAAGTAGTATGCAAAAATACTTTGGAATTTTGGGCAAATTATTTAAAAATAATAAAGTTGCCCTACTTCAACAAAAAAAATGTACACAGGTGAAAAGTTTGCTAAAATCAATAGGGACAAAAAAAAAAGTTTCTGTGATTAATTCATTGACTGAACACAATAGCACTAAGGAACCTAATCAAATATGTTGTAAGTTAATTAAAAAAAAAAATGAAATCCATTTTTTTAAATTGCCTTCTGTAAAGTGTTTTCAAAATCTAATTGTGTTACTTTTTAGTCTCAGTCAAAATGAACTTGGAAGTGAATATAAATAGAAATATAACTACATTTGCAACTTCAGATAAAACTGCAAATAAAACTCCAAGTACAAATAGAACTACAACTCCCAGTACAATTACAACTTTAACTATAACTACAACTCCAGATACAACTGAAGATACAACTCCAAATACAACTCTAAGTACAAATAGAACTACAACTCCCAGTACAATTACAACTACAATTATAACTACAACTCCAGATATAACTGAAGATACAACTCCAAATACAACTCCAAGTACAAATAGAACTACAACTCCAAGTACAATTACAACTACAACTCCAGATACAACTCCAGATACAACTCCAGATACAACTCCAAATACAACTCCAAATACAACTCCAAGTACAAATAGAACTACAACTCCAAGTACAATTACAACTACAACTCCAGATACAACTCCAAATACAAGTCCAAATACAACTCCAAGTACAAATAGAACTACAACTCCCAGTACAATTACAACTACAATTATAACTACAACTCCAGATACAACTCCAGATACAACTCTAGATACAAATCCAAATACAACTCCAAGTACAAATAGAACTACAACTCCCAGTACAATTACAACTACAATTATAACTACAACTCCAGATACCACTCCAGATACAACTCCAAATACAATTCTAGATACAACTCCAAATACAACCCCAAATACATCTCCAGATACAACTGAAAATACAACTCCGAATACAATTACAACTCCAAATACAACTCCAAATACATCTCCAGATACAACTGAAAATACAACTCCAAATACAATTACAACTCCAAATACAACTCCAAATACATCTCCAGATACAACTCAAGATACAACTCCAAATACAACTCCAAATACAATTACAACTGCAAATACAACTCCAAATACATCTCCAGATACAACTCAAGATACAACTCCAAATACATCTCCAGATACAACTCAAGATACAACTCCAAATACAACACCAAATACAACTCCAAGTACAATTACAACTACAACTCTAAATACAGCTCCAAATACATCTCCAGATACAACTCAAGATACAACTTCAAATACATCTCCAGATACAACTGAAGATACAACTCCAAATACATCTCCAGATACAACTCAAGATACAACTCCAAATACAACTCCAAATACAATTACAACTGCAAATACAACTCCAAATACATCTCCAGATACAACTCAAGATACAACTCCAAATACAACACCAAATACAACTCCAAGTACAATTACAACTACAACTCTAAATACAGCTCCAAATACATCTCCAGATACAACTCAAGATACAACTTCAAATACATCTCCAGATACAACTGAAGATACAACTCCAAATACAACTTCAATTCCAAGTACAAATACAACTACAACTCCCAGTACAATTACAACTACAACTATAACTACAACTCCAGATACAACTCCAGATACAACTCCATATACAACTCCAACTCCAGATACAACTACAGATACAACTACAGATACAACTACAGATACAACTAAAGATACAACTAAAGATACAACTTTAGATATAACTACAGATACAACTACAGATACAACTACAGATACAACTCCAAGTACAATTACAACTACAACTTCAACTTTAACTATAACTCCAAATAGAACTCCAGATACAACTCCAAGTACAGATTTACATTTGCCAATGGATATGGAAGAAAAGAAGAAAGAAGACAAGAAGGATGAAGCCGATGAAGAATATTCAAGAGCTGTAAGATATTTTTTTATATTTAAAACAATGATAAAATATTATTCATAACCTATTGGTAACTATTTCTAATAAAATTTTTTTTATTGCAGGCAACAAAAATTAAATGAAAAATTATTATAAATGTTTAACATCCGAAAAGTATTATAATTAGAATGTTTACTAAATCAACAATGGTCCGAATGTTATCGTTCTATTCATACGAAGCCTTCTAATTGAAATGAAAAATATTATTATATAATTAATATAAATTAGTATATTTATTTATTTTATTATTATTATTTTATAAATGATAAATAAAATGAAAAAAAAAATTTAATTTTGACCGTTTATTACTGTAAATAAATGAATAAGAAATTAAAACAAACGCTTTTACGTTATACTATTTTTTACTCAATGACTTTACTATACAATAAATTAAAGTAAAAAAAAAGCAATTTTTATTAACTTTATCAATGTTCATTTATTACTATTTTTTTACTCTGTATTTAACATAAAAAATGTGGACAATAATTTCTTAATTGACAAAGACAGAATTTAAAAGTTCTTGGATCAACTTATAACATTGGTGTAATTTGTTGTAAACAAAAAAAAAACACATTAAAAGAGTTTTTATTTTCAAAAAATCAATTATTAATCTCTTTTTGCATAAAATTAATTTTATAAATTTTAATAATTTAAATGTAAATCCAAACTAGTTTTGTGGGCTTTTTCAAATGATACTAAAATTTTTGTATTAAAAAAATAAAATAATTTAGTAGAAATACAATTGCATGTAATTATTTATTTTTATTATTATTTAACTTTTTCAATTTGTATATAAATTAATAAATTATTATGAATTTATCACAGGGTACAATAAATAGAGAGATAAAAATTTTATCAATCAATTCAAACAAAAATTACCCAAAATTTTTGTCAAATTTTTATCTCTATTAATATTATTATTATTTCGAAAAAAATTTCTCTGACCTTAGTCTGTAGCCGATGTATCATATATTTTTTGGACGGTAAGATGTGCAATAAACATCATAAGCGAATTAAAAAAAAAAATTTCGAACACTCCCGAAGCAAAAAAAATTGACTGTAAAATGAAGAAAATGAAATTTAACACTGTAAATTTTTTTTCGTTCGCGAATTAAAAAATTTCTAGCACTCCCGTAAGTTATTTGCTGTTGAAAAATGAAAGAAAAAGGAATTGTTAAATTTTGATTGGACTTACGTTGAGCACACGTCTAAACAGGTCAATACACGAATTGCAACTGATTGAATTTTATTATCTTTGGGATTTTCATCAACATTGTTTATGACCTTTGACTTAAGGTTCCTTTTTGCACTTTAATGTAAACATACAGCTCAGAATGCAGGTATAAAGATCCGAGATAGAGATACACAATTCGAAAAATAACTTCGAGAAATAATATAATATAATATAATATAATATAATATAATATAATATAATATAATATAATATAATATAATATAATATAATATAATATAATATAATATAATATAATATAATATAATATAATATAATATAATATAATATAATATAATATAATATAATATAATATAATATAATATAATATAATATAATATAATATAATATAATATAATATAATATAATATAATATAATATAATATAATATAATATAATATAATATAATATAATAACCCAAAAAGTTATCAATTTCGTTTTCTGCATCTAAATTAGAATAATTTTGAACTCATCTTTTTTCTGTGTTTTTTTGCATCATAAGCTTATATCTTGTCTTTTGCAGTTATTAATAAAAAATAAAACGAAAAAAACTCTACTCATTAGCATGTTTTTTTTTTTTTGGAAGAGAGAAGAAAAAAGGAAATATGAATCAAAAGGCAGTCGACGATATAATCATCTCCACTCTCTTTCTCTCTCTTATTGCGATCTCAAATTAGAATCAGTTGAAGTTAAAAGCGCTACTGCTCTTGACTTTGCATCGTTTATGCTTCTTTTTATTCAATCATTGGATGGAAAAAAGGGCAAAAGTGCCGAAAAGCAAAAGGGTTTATATATATATACATATATACGAGAATGTATGACGTATCCCATCGGTACTTGATAGATCGCTCGAGCATATATACACACTGCACCCTCAAGTATGCCAGTGCGGTGGGTACATTTCTGTATATAAAAAAAAAACAAAAAACCCTAACAGAGTTTGGAACCCCTCATTCATTTCTTAAATGCACTCATCGACATATTCTCCCTTCATAAATAAATGTTGATGCATATTAATTCTCCACCCGTTTATTATAGGTGCCCTCAAGCATTTAAATCTCGACAGTGTATATAATAATAGGCAAACATTTAACTTTCTCTATTTTCCTATATATATATATATCGAGAATTATAATTAAATTCAAATTCTACAAATTTCCTCGCAATAATAATTTCTATATTTATTTAAGGGAAAGCTTGTTTCCTGATTTTCAGTTGGTAAATATTTCAATTTAGTGTAAATAACTCAGAATCAGGAATTGCGGAGAAGAGAATTTTTTTTTGCGACGCATGATTATATGTTCTAAAAATCGTTAGTTAGAATTTTCATTTTATGGAATTTCATTTTAATATTATTTTTGAGCCGAATTTTTTATTTGTTCGAATTAGTATTTTGCAGAATTTTCATCAAAACGATTATATAAAACCGAAATTTCATATTTTATATAAATATCTTTTATTTCAGAATAAAAAATAAAATTAGTGTGATTGTAAAAATAGAATTGGTAAGTGTAGAAATAAAATAAAAAATTCGAATTAATATAAGTGTAAGTGAAAATATGAGTAAAAATTGGAAACAAAAAAGAGTGCAACTAAAAATTGAATTACATAATCAACTCCCAGGTGTTGCTAACATTTCTAAAAAAGAAAAAAAAATACAGTCAAGTAAAAATGTCACCATATATAAAAAATTTTCAAATTATTTTTTGGACATGACAAATTGTCCAAGAAAATTGAATTTACAAAAGCCAAAACTTGTTTTTGAAATAAACGCGAGCTGCTGTTGCCTCTACAACAACTACTACTACAAGAATGCTCTCCTCTAAATCAAACTGTCTCCATTGCACTTAGTGCAATGCGCCCCACGTACAATCTATCATGTTGTAGGGTGAAATGTAATTTCTAATTCCTCGTGACTGTCAGAACACCACCCGAGGAGGAAATTCAAATTTGGTTGCAAGTTTCCAAGTGCGTAGAGTCAGCAGGATGTACATACATATATATATATATATATTTAGTTGAGTGAGAGAGAAAACGAGGTTTGTGAAGAGATGAGATGAGGGGGTGTCTAAAAGTGAGGGAGATGGAGGGCGAATAGTATGACGGAGGGAGAAAGAGACAGAGAGCAACAGGTTGCAAGTAGAATGCACGAGAGTGACAAGTCAGAGGTAGGAAGGGAGGATTTTAGCTCGAGGCGGTCCATGAACCATCAGCCTCTCTCGCGCTCCAGTTTCTTATTACGACTACCACTTGGGCTGTGTATTACTAACGTGTCTCCGGATCTTTTCTCTAAATTTAGCACAAGGAACACCCAACTCGAGAGAGAGAGAGAGAGAGATTAATCTGTGCGCGTATCACGCCGAGTGGAAAAATTTCTCTCATCTCTATACACTGACGTTTCGTAAAAATTTTTCATGATTCATTTAATCCTACACGTCATTCACACTTTTTTTTTTTGAATTATCTGGATTTGTTCATAGGAATCTCAATTTTAAATTTTAAATAAAATTAACATGTCTCAAATTAATCATGCATTAGTGGACAAAAAGATTTGTTATAGGAACAAAAAAATTTGATAGAATTACAAACTAGATTTGTTAAATTAAAAAAAAATTGTACAACGTGAAATTATTTTACTGTTTTAGTGAAAGTGTAAAATAATATATAATTTCAGTCAAAAGTGAGAGTAAAACTGTTAATTTTACAAACGCATCACCCAATGGTACAATCAAAGAAAATAAAACAAAAAATTCAAAATTGCCTCACTCGTTAGCACTCGATTTAAACAATTAATCCAACAATTTCCGAAGAGTAACCGCACAAACGTGTGCAATTTCGATTCCAGGAAACAAGCAATTACATTATAATTGAAGTCATTAAGAAATCGATAAACAGCATAGCGGCAACGACGAATGCTACAATTTTGGAAAACGATATTTTCAGAGAGGTGTTATATATATATATATTTATATAGCCTCACAATGAAATGGCAATACAATGCCAATAATAAGTCCATTATAGATATATGAACCAGATTTGTTTCTCGTTTACAATATTCAACATAATCGTTTGCATTAAATATTCTTTTGGGAGGTTATAAAATCACATAAAAGTTGGTCAATTATAAACACACAATTCATATATACGAGGAATTTTTAATATTTGTACACAATTGGAATTTATTTTTTGAAATAGAATTTTAAAAGTTCCAAGAGAAAATTCATTGCAATTGAGAAATGGTCGAAAAGAATGATATGAAATGAAAAAAGGGGTTGGTATAGGCATTTCTGTTTCTGTCGCATGACGGTAGTTGTATTTATGGAAATGAACTGAGTTAGTTTGAACTCTCTTTTCATTCTCTTCCTACAATTTTTTTTTATCTCGTTTTTTCTCTTCCTCTTTTTATAACCCCCTTCTCTTTTTTATTCTTTTTCCTCTTTCTCTCTCTCTCTCTGTCTTCTCTTTTTTTCCCCATTCTTTTTTCTCTTTGTCTAAATCTCTCTCCTTCAATTTTTGCATCTCTTGCTCATACTGTCCGTTTCTCTCTCACTCTCTCTCTCTTACTCTCACACAAAATTTTCTCCTCTATTTTCTACCTTATTCTCCATTTCGCACACGGAAGGCTACAGCCAGCTGCCGCCCACTCTGCAGTTTGCCCACCTAATTACGCGGAATTCATAACTTACCACGGTGTTCATTCCTCCGTTTGTATTTCACTCCTTCTTTCTTTTTTTTCTTCTTTTTTTTTGCCTTCTGTATTCTGTACTCGGCTTTTATTCTTACTATACATATATTTTTACCTTGTCTGCTCCCCTATATCTTAAACGAT